GGACAGTTGCTCAAATCCACAGGAATAAATAAATAATAGTGGTAAAAGTAACTGTGTAGGCAAATATAAAAGATAGGATAGATATATTTTTTGTTTGTAACTTTCTCTCTCTCTCTTTTTTTTCTTTTTTGCCTACCCACAGCTAATCATCTGGCTGGACTACCTATGCATCCACCCATAGATTAACGTTTGTTATTACTGATAATGCAGTATTGTGTATATAATAGTATTTACCTTTGTTGTCTGTACCTCTTGTGTACCTCTATGCGTCTTCCCTTTCCTTAGTGATAATGTGCTAAACCAAAAACCAAACCTACTGTCATCAAGTCGATTCTGACTCATAGCGAGCCCCACTGGATTTCTGAAGCAGTAAATCTTTACAGAAGTAGATTGCTGATTTCCACAGTTGCTACACCATATTACAGTCACACTAGTAGTATATGAAAGTTCTAATCTCTCTACACCCTCATCAGCATTTGCTGTTTAGTGTCTTGTTCAACTTTGCTACTATTGCTGGCATGAAATGATATCTCATTGTTATCTTGATTTGCATCTCTTTAATGACTAATGACTGCGACCATTTCTTCATGTGTTTGTTGTCCACCTGAGTATATTTTTGATGAAGTGTCTATTCATGATTTCTGCCCATTTTTTAATTGGGCTGTTTAATGAGGCATTCAAGTTTTCTATAAATTTTAGAGATAAGTCCCTTGTCATATATGTCATTGGTAAGTATGGTAGTTAAACTGTGAGTCAACTTAGCTGGGCCAGGTTTTGAGTGGCTGTGCAGCTGGATATAATTATTCCTCATGATGGAACTGGTACACAACTCCATGGTGAATCTACTGGAGCAGCTGAGTAACTGCCTTAGGGATGTGGTCTGCTTCCAGCATATAAGGACAGCACTTCTTGCAGGATGGCAGAATAGGCAGACAAGCTACACTGACCCTCTCCAACAAAGAAAAGAGAAACTAATTGACACAGATACAGAAGATAATTCTGCAGCCCAGAGCTTTGAAAGGAAAGAGACAGAAGTGGATTAGACACCAAATAGTAGAAGAACCTGAATGACAACAGTGAATAAGGAGACAAATAGAGCTGTGGAATGTAAGCCATCTTGATGGCATGAACAGTTTAGGTATTTCCAGGTGGTGTTAGGACCTGAGAATTAACCTAAAAATTGGCCCTGCTCACCAAGAGCTGCATGGATGACTACATTGGTGGCTTATGACAAAAGAGAAACAGCAAAGAAGGAGACAAACTGAGCTGTGGACTTTCAGCTATCTGGAGGGAGTAGCCATTTTGAAGGCTTACAAGTGGAGGCCATTTTGGATATTTAAGGCAGCAATGTTTTTGTTCAGATTCTAGGGACCTAAGAATAGGCTCTGCTTGTGGAGGACAGCACAGATATATGGGAGGCAGATGACTGGAAAGGAGACAGGTGGTGAGTGCATAAGTGCTTCCAACTAGTGAACAGAGGAGTACAGTACCCTGCTTCCTCAGATATATCCAAAGAAAATAAAAATCTTGGGCAAATCACTCCAACATACAATCACCAATTAAATATAAACACAAAAATGTTATAATGTCTCAGATACAAATGAATTCTCACAGTCCACATAAAGAAGCAAGATAAAGCTGTAGAAACAAGGGAACAGGATACAGACCCAGAACACATCTCAGAGGAAGAAGCAGCACTGGAACTCCCTGACAAGGAATTAAAAATTATATTCAGGTACCTTCAACAGTTTGAGAGACAGATCAAGAAAAACACTGAAAAAATTAAGGAAAACACAGACAAAACCTTAAAACAATTTCAGAGGACAATACAAAAACCAAATGAGAAAATAAATGAAAAATTAGAAATGATTCTAAATTTACAGATAGAAATCCAGAAGACTGATACTAAATTATCAGAAATAGATAACACATTGGAAGAGCAAAAGAGCAGAATTGATGCAATGGAAGACAGAATTAATGAGATTGAAGACAAATACCTGAATACTTCTTTGGAAAGGGATCAATCAGAAAAAAGATCAAAACAAAATGAAGAAAGCCTAAGGTTCATGTGGGATACCATCAAAAGGAATAAGCTATGTGTCATTGGAATTCCAGAACAGGAAGAGAAAAATAAAACCACTGAGAAAATAGTCCAAGATTTGTTGGAGGAGAACTTCCTTGATATGATGAAAGATGAGAATATATCCCTTCAGGAAGTCCAATGAACCTCAAACAGGATAGACCCCAAAAGAAAATCACCAAGGCATATCATCATCAAACTCATCAAAACCAAAGACAAAGAAAGAATCCTGAAAGCACCACGGGAAAAACAAAAAGTTACTTACAAAGGACAACCAGTAAGTATAAGCTCTGATTTCTTAGCAGAAACCATGCAAGTGAGAAGGCAATGGGATGGTATATATAAAACCCTGAAAGACAAATATTTTGAACCAAGCATTATATACTCAGCAAAACTGTCCCTCAAATATGATGGTGAAATTAGGAGATTTCCAGATAAGCAGAAAAGGTGCTGACTGAGACAACTGGGTTTCTATAGATAAAAGAATAAATTTGGATCCCTACTAAACAATATACAAAAATTAACTCAAAATGGATCAAAGATCTAAATATAAGAGCTAAAATTACAAAACTCTTCAAAGGAAACAAAGGTGTAAATCTTTGGGACCTTGGATTAAGCAATGGCTTCTTTGGTATGACACCAAAGCCCAAGCAACCAAAGGAAAAAAAAAAATCAATTAATTGGACTTAATCAGAGAAAAAAAAATTATGCTTCAAAAGCCACCATCAAGTAAGTGAAAAGATAACCCACAGAATTTGAGAAAATATTTATAAAACATGTATCCGATAAGAATGTATGAGGAATATAAAAAGAACTCTTACAACTCAAGAATAAAAAGACAGATAGCCCATTTAAAAATGTGGGCAACCAAACTGGATAAACATTTCTCCAAAGAAGATACATAAATTGCTAATAAGCACATGAAAATATGCTCAACATCATTAATCATTGGGGGCAATGTTAATTAACCACAATAAGATAACATTTCACACCCACTAAAATAGTCATAGTCAAAAAGACAAGATAATAACAAGTATTGACAAAGATGTGGAGAAACTGGAACCCTCATACATTCGTGATGTGTATGTAAAATGGTGAAAACAGTTTGGCAGAGCCTCAAAAAAAATAAAAAATAAAAGTTAAATACAGAGTTACCATATGATCTAGCTGTTTCACTCTTAGATATGTACTCAAGAGAACTGAAAACTTTTGTCCACAAAAAAACCTGTACACTAATGTATACAGAAGCACTATTAATAATAGTGAAAAAGTGAAACCAGCCCTAATGTTTATCAGTGGGTAAATGAGTAAACAAAATGTGCTATAGTCATAAAATGAAATATAAATTCATAAAAAAAGGATGGAAAATTGATATATGCTACAACATGGATGAACCTTGAGAACATTATGCTAAGTGAAAGAAGCCAGACACAAAAGGTCACATACTGTATGATTCCATTTATATGAAATGTCCATTCAACACAGGAAAATCTAGAGACAGAAAATACTTTAGTGGTTGTCAGGGACTAAGGGGGGATGGGAGTAATGAGTGACTGGTAATGGGTAAGAGCTTTCTTTTTGGGGCGATTAAAATGTTTTGTAATTAGATACTGGTGATGGTTGTACAACATTGTGACTATACTGAAAACCAGTAAGTTGTATATTTTTAAAGGGAGAATTTTATGGTACTTAAAGTATAACAATTTAAAAAATACGTAACTGCAAACTTGAAGACTTCAAAGAAAGAAGGATAAAAAGTTATAAAATAATACTTCTGAACAAATATGACTGGCTCTATGAATCCTCTTTTTCTAGTCAGTCTCCTTGAATAGGTCCCTGGGGGGCACAAGCAATTTGTAATTAGCTACTAACTGAAAAGTTGTCAGTTCAAACCCACCCAATGGTGGTGTGAAAGAAAGTCTTGGCAATATGCCAATAATCACAGCCAAGAAAAAGCCTATGGTGGACAGTTCTACTGTGTAACACACAGGTTGCCATGAGTTGCAACTGACCTGACAGCAACGGGTTTTCTACTTGAATAGTAATTGTTATACTACCCATGTGAATGTAGGACTTTTAATTCTTGACATCTACTAGAACTAATTTATAACATACTCTACACCTTATTATGTTATCAAAGTATCACTGTTGACTCATTAAAAAGTCTTACGAGTCACGAACTAATTGCTTTGGCAATGTACCCCCTAAAATGGAAGTGAATATATTTTAAAATGTTGAGTTTTAATTGGTTAGACACTGAAAAACTGAGTATGTAATATTTAAAAATTGTTAAAAGGCAAACAATAACAATGATGACATCATTTCACTGATAGAGTACCAAGAAATGTGCATTTGACATAAGATTCATATCAAGAAAGACCTACGCTATCAGAGCTCCCACCAAAACAGACATAAAAGAGAAACACAGATGGAAGGAAAGGGATAAAGCCCCCCAAAAAACTAAACACATTTTGGCTAAACAGCTGGGCTGAAAAACAATTTCTTATCTTGCAATTAAGAATCGATTTCTCTCTGAAAGACACAGGACATTGGGTTAATAGATTCCTTTAAAAGAAAATCTGTTTTGGCTATTGAAACATTAAAAGAACAGAACATCTGTTTGCAAGCAAAGACAGATTGTATAGAAGAATCAAATATCAAACCACTGATTAGACTAGCATTTAATCTGTTCTATTTAAAATTTCAATAAAAGTGACTGAATTACATTCTTGAAATTATTGCTCAGCTACAAATATTTAACACCATTAACCTTTAACACTAAGATCAGTTTAAAGGATAAAGTAAGTAATTATTAGCATATTTTAATCATTTTAAATTCTATTTGATATCTAGCTAAAATAGATCGTGAAGCACTCTACTCTAAGTATCATTTTTAAAATATTGTGAAGTAGAAACTCACCATCCATGAATTCTGTACATATTGAAATCCTGTTTTCTACGAAAAATGCACCATAAAACCCTATGATATATGATGAATCGCACTGTAACAAAAATAAGACAAAAGTATTTAAAATCTACAAGCCAATACCATAAGCATGCTTTCTAAATAGAAATGACCAAGGGAAAAAAAATTACCTTATAAAGAATTTCCAATTCAGACATAATTTGCTTCTGAAGTTCCAGTGTAATATCTAGCAGTATGACCTAATATAAAAAGGTATTAAGATTCACACATTTATTTTCCTTCAAATTAAAGATAATCATGATGAAATATAAAAATTAAAATTAAAAAAAAAAAGCTGTTTCCTCTATTCCTTCCCCTTTCTCCTCCCCATCACTATAATCCCCAGTAATACAAACTGTATCTATGTCTAACCCTTTGTATTGGGGGAGGTGGTACAGAAGTGATTGATGGGGCCAAAGAAAAAGCTAGGGCTCAAAGGTCAGCATTAATGGCTTTAAAAGTCAGTTAAGCTATAACACTCTTAATTTATATACCCTATTTTGGCTACAGGAGCTCTGGTAGCAAAGTGCCTAAGGCACTTGATTGCTTACCAGAAGGCTGGAGGTTCAAATCCACCAGCCACTCCTCAGAAGGAAGATTGGGCAATCTACTTCCGTAGTGATACTGCCTTGGCAATCCAAGGAGGAGTTGCTATGAGTCAGGTCTGACTTGACGGCACATAACAACAACAGCAACATTTTGGCCACATTGGTTATTTTCAGAAGAGGAAGATAGGAATGATCTTCAAACCATTAAAAGAGAACCATCTATGAGTCAGTGGGAAGGAGGATAAGTAAAAGTGACAGCTAAAGTGAGATTTTTATTAGAGAAATAAGGAGTTTTCTTAACCTATCATATTATTATTTTTTTTATTAGGATTTGGGTGAAATAACCTATCATATTATTTTTAATAGACTTCCAGTTGAGAGATATTCCTTTATTAATATTGCTATAGAATGTTAGTACTTGAAGGAAACTCTGAAATCCTTTAGTCTAACATCCTTCTTTTAGAGAGGAAGGAACCAAGGAGTTTTGCAGCCTAACAATGGTAGAGTCTTTCCCCTGAGTTCCAGTCTCATGCACATCCCAGTACATGTTTCCTTAAAATATCAACCACTAGGTCAGACTTGTAACAAAGCAGTTTAATTATCAATTCATCTACAACAAACTCCAGTTTATTTCAAACATTTATTTAAAAAAAAAAAAGACTATCAACTGTTCAAATTTTACTTAGTGCTTCAGGGAGGCCAATTTAAGGGCAATTGTTTTTCACTTTAAAAAAGCCAGTAATAAAATAAATAAATAAATAAATAAGAGAGTAATGAGAATAAAAATGTTGTTGTTGTTACGTGCAGTCGAGTCAGACCTGACTCATAGCGACCCCTCCTTGGGTTTCTGAGGCAGTATCACTAAGGAAGTAGATTGCCCAACCTTCCTTCTGAGGAGTGGTTGGTCAATTTGAACTGCCAGCCTTCTGGTTAGCAGTCAAGTTTCTTAGCCACTATGCTACCAGAGCTCCTAGAATAAAAATATTGGAAGATAATTTTTAAGATTTGTGGCAGAAGTTTCTGACTTTAGAAATTTCTAGATGAAAAGTTAACATTTAGGGTTACTAAGAGGAGTTACACACCATTCAACATTGAAGTGTATTTTGTAATATAACTGAAGAATAATCATACTGGAAAAAAAATTAACTATGAATTAAAAACTGCTGATACAGCCAGGAAAGAAAAGGATAATTTTATAGTTCTGACATCCATTAGGGGGAAGGGAAGGGAAGGGATGGAGGGAGGCGTAACCAGTTTCTATCAAGAGTTTGCTTTAGGGTTATTTATAAAAGTGCTCACTAAACTAGATTGTAACTGTAATACAAAACTGCCAAGAAACATTTAAACATTTCTCCCAATCAATAGTCATTTGCCAGCAATATTCACTTACATTTTTGTTCCTGTATAAAACAGTAACAAATCTATCTAGTGTTGTTTCAATTCTCTGCCACAAAATATTATAGCTACCACTATGTCAAATACAGGGAACTTTTTACTCTAAGAAACTCTGCTAAAAGGAATAAAGTTATTATTTACCTTAAAGCGATGGTTCTCAAATCTGGCATCCCATTTCAATCTCCTGGGGCACTTTTTAAAAATTTGATGCACAGGCCTTACCCCAGAACAATGAAATCATAAAGTCTGAGTTGGACCCACATCTTAGTATTTGGAAAAAAAAAAAAAAAACTCCCCAGGTTATTTCTAATCCATAGTAAGCCTAATAACCACTCACTTGTTTCAAAAATGCCATTTTTTCAGTCAGTAGTGTGACTACATCACACATCTAGGCTACCAGCCTAGAAATGACATGATTCTACATTGGCTAGCCAGCATCTTGGAATTAACCCAAAACTCCTAGCTGTAAACACAGTCTCTTTATCAAGAACCTTAACTGAATTCCCATGGCTATAATACAACTCTAGCATGATACTCAAGCAATTCTTTTACCATCTAGCTCCACTTATCTAACTCCTTCTTCTGTAATTCTCCTCTTCCCAAATCCAACTGTCATGTGAAATCCCATCATTTTTATTGGTACACACACAGGTTCTGTGCTTTTCCTCATTTTTAGGCTCCTGCCCTTCCTTCTTCTTGGGGTATAGTTCCTCTCTTCAACCCACAGCCACTAATTATAAAACCCTTCTCTATCTTTTAGGACCTAATGTGGATGCTAATGCCACTATCTCCAAGAAACCCATCCCAAAGCCCTCCATCAGAATTCATCACTATCTCTAGTCCAGTATACCTCTTCTCACCACATTCTGCCTTTAACATTCATGCTGCATCTTCTAAAATCAGAACCCTCAGCAGGACAGAGCGGTATGGCCTCCTCCAAAGGCAAGGAGTGAGTCATACATCATTCTATCTCCCAGCACCCAGCATTGGGTTTTATTTACACTTATACCCATTAAAGGATAGGAGATTTAATTAAAATGTTCTTTACAACCATAATCCTCTAAATAAGAAACTTTTTCTAGACAGGAAGGAAATAGATTCTTTAATTTATACAACTGAAATAAAAATGAAAGACACAAATGCCAAAATAAAGTAAAACACGTGAGAACCAGAACTCGAAGAGACTGCCTTGTCTTTCTGGGTCTTGCAAGTTTTCTGTCTCTCACAAGGTGTAGTCTTAGCATTTTTCAGCTGCTCAGTTTTGTGGAAAATTTGTGCTGTTTTCCTTCTCTGACAGGTTTCTGCCTTACATAGTTCCAACTATTGCACTATATATAAACAGTACCAGGTTGACCTAAACTGTGGCAAGTAACACTGAGATTGGGAAGCCAATCTATTGCACTCTAACAGATCTTGGTCATTCTTGGTACTTGTTTTATAGTCCAGAATTGTGGAGGCTTGCGATGGAGGGAAAGTGATTTCTGGAAACTCGAGAGGGCAAGAAAAATCCACCTTAAAATAACTCTACTGAAGTGCTCTTCTATTTTCTGGGGGACTTGGCATTCTAGTAGGAGGTTAATTTTCCTTCCCCTAGGCATTCTTCTGGGTGAGCTTTAAAACTGCTAAAATAAACAAGACCAATTCCTTATTTGAAGAAAATGGAGAAAAGTATGGCAAATACTAATTTTCCTCTTTGAAGTACAAGAAAGGCATGGACTCCTGCATTTTTGTCACTTTTTTCTTCTTCCTTAGGAAGAGGTAAATTGTTCAAGCTAGAAACATTTTGAATATGAAGCTTCTCATGGAGAAAGGGTTAAGTGAGACACTGTAATACCTGAGTGCGTTTCCACTGCTCTCCGCTACACCTCCAGGACAAATAAGGATGAGTTGTCAAGTTAAATACAAGCAGTCAAGTGACTGAATTATAATTTACTCTGTGCTCAATTTAAATTAGTGTGAGGCTATTAAAATATACAGTATAAATACGGCAATTCATCACAAGCTGTCATGGATGACTTCATTTATTTGCTAGAGTGGCACACGCTCCACTAAAGGGAAGGAGAGCAAAATCACAGGTCAAATTAAGCTGCTATTCTGTTTTAATTCACTTATTTAATCTGTGGCGACATAATTGTCTTTTACAGTATGTACAATTCAGAAAGGAAATTTGGGAGGATTAGTCAGTATTCAAATGATTAATCAAATGGTCCATTTAAATGCTAGTTTAAAAGCAGCAGAAACTCAAAGCAGTCAAAGAATGATAATCAGCACATGCTATATACAGCGCTAAGAATTTTCCTGTGAGATGGACTTTTTTTTCCCAATTAGAAAATAAGCAATACTGCGAAACCTATTAAATCCTCCAAGCACTACTATTTGAAAGATTTTACAGAATACATTAATGGTATGAAAAGGTTCCTTGCAAGATGGCTAACTGTATTTTTATTTGTTTTCTGCTCTACTTATTTGCAATTATCTTGTCTACCTACACTAAAAAAAAAGCTAGTTAGAAACACGTTTCATGAGTTATGTACAGCCATTATCAAATAATTATCTTTAAAGTGTGATTAGCATTATTTTCAAAATGCTCTCTTTAAGGCAGGAAATTTTCTAAATCCAGTGGTATAAAATTCAAATTCAAGGTACTTTCATTCTTGCCAAAATTCAACTTGCTTTTTTAAAAAATATTTTAAATGATATTTTTCTACCTTTGAACTCTGAAAAGGGATACATTACAAAAGGCTGTTTTGTCTGAAAAATAAGAACATTTCCAAATATAAAAATTAGAAATATTTGAGTAGGAAGACAAAGGTAACAGGGTTAAGAGAATGCTCATCTAATTGTTTTCACAGACAAAGTATGGGTCCAACTGGCCACTTGACTTGGGAAATTAAATTTCACCTATCATTCTATGCAGGCATCAGAGCCCTGCAGGTGATTTTGTTTAGACAAGGACTGTGATTTGCTGCTCTTCCCAATCCCTTGGTGACACCAGGCAGCCCTGTTTCATAGCTGAGGTCACTGAGAGGTTCAAGTGACATGCTTGAAGTCACACAAAAGTCAAGAGAGGGTCAGGGAAAGAGCAAATGTGCTTCTAACTCTTAACCTTTCATTTCACCCTTTAATATAAAAAAAGCTAAGAAATATTCTGGGTGAGAGCAATGGTCCATACAAAGAACACTATGGGATATTTTGTATGTGAGCTGAACCTGCTTTCAAGATGTCACTTCAAAAGATCAATGAATGAACTAAAGAAC